TTCAGACGTGTGCTCTTCCGATCTTGGAATTAAAGTGAGGAATAAATAACAAACATTTTAATTATGGTGTTACTATTGTGTTGATATGAGCCAAGAGACAAGGGGATATCTCGATAAAGAATAAGGTTATTATTTCAGTTTTAATTGTTACCAACATTTTGATGATTCAGATGAATCCATTTATATTACAAGAAATGTAACTTTACATATAGATAATCACTACGACATTTGAAACTTAAATTTCCAATCTTGATTAACGAATTGTTTTAAATATCCATCTTAAACATTAATATTTTATTGTAATAATTTAATAATGATTGATGGTAATATATCATAATTTTTTTATTAAAGTTTTACAGTGTTAATGTTGCTTAATATATGCGCTCTATTTGTTATTAGACAAAAGAAAATATTCTTTGGCTTGTTAATTTTCAGTCTTATCAGAGTTAATTACGATAGTATACTATTTTGAGCTATCAATTTTTTAGCTGTTTCACTATTGTGATTAAGTGTTTGATGAACATCTAAAATTGATGATATCAATGCATCAAGGACTGGCAGCAATATGCGCAAGGATCATGATAGCTGAAGACTCAACCTGAAATACTATACATATTTGAAAAAGGACCAATATAAAAGTGGCAATATGTTTGGTTGTCCTAGAGAGGCTGTACGTGTAAAAGTTAAGGTACATATATCAATTAAATACATTTTTATTTTAATAAAATTTTATGATAAAATAAACTCTATACGATAAAAGATTTTTATTACATAGAGTTTATATGTATTTTATTGAATATAAAAATATATAAAATGGCAAATTACACAATGATAACTATACCAACTTTGTTCGTATGACAACATAACAAATTTCTCAAAGATTGTTTTGAGATGAAAATCCTAATATTAAAAAAACTTATGATTTTTAAATGAAAAATATTTGAAGCTAACTAATCAAATTGCTTGAAATACACATGCTCAAATTTGATTCGTCACACAACAATAAATGTCAATTATTTATAAAACTCTTTATGTGATAGCTTTGACATATATCGCATTTCAATACTCATACTCATGGTTTTTATTCTGCTGTAATTATTATTGACATGTTCGATATATTTGTCAATTAATAATAAGTGCAATAAAATAAACAAATAATTACAATAGTGATGCAAAATTATATCAATAGCAAGAATAAGATTGTTAATTGAGAGCATCTTGCAATGTTTACTATGTTTGAATGTGTGACACTGTCGGACAATTAGATTAGTTAATTTTAAATATTTCTTATTTAGAAACCATTATAGCCTTGACATTCTGATATTGGGGTTTTCACCTCAAAATAACCTTAGGCAACCTCTGCTGTTTAATGTTGTCGCACGCAAAATCACTATCATTGTATAACTTGTATTTAATTTAACGCAGCTATATTATATAAAATTGTTGTAATATTACAACTAGTATGATAAATTTATTATGCTATTACTCATACTACTTATACATCATGTTTTATAGTTCTGTAAATATAATTTTCTCTACAATTTCCTTTACAATGTCTACTTTAAATGTAGAGTTTAAGAACAGAACCTGTAACACAATAGAATTCTGTTATTCCTCAGAAATGCGAAACTAGACATCAACCTGAATATCGCAAGTTCAGCGTGGATCCTCAGATAACATCAATAGAAGTGCTGCAAAGTATTCTTATAAAGGCTTTTGACATAAAAGGGTAAGGTATATTAATAATAATAATAATATTAATAAAATCTGCTAATATAATTTATCTGTTTGATTGTCGACGATTAAAAATTTATGCGAAAAATGCCAAGCAATGCGCGCTTCTCTCGTTTTTTGTCAAAAAGTACCGAAAAGTATTAAGGTAAAAAAAATTTATTATGTATACATCTTTTTGTTCACTTCCATAATAAATTGAACCAAACTTTGAAAATTTCGGAATAGAAGCTGAATGCTCGTCGGCGTTTCTTGGTGTGAAAAGTAAATAGCGCAATCGTGCTACACTTAGAAAGTTAAATATAATATGTTATATTTATTAGATAAATTAAAAAAATCTTTAGCTTGAAAGAGATACAATTTTCATTAATATGTAAATTAATTTGTAAATGCATAATCTAACGCATATTCTAATTTTAATAATTCTTTCCTCTCTTTTTATCTCTGTAACGATATGATTAGATTGATACACGTGCTTTTCATCAGTTAAATCATCACATAGCAATATAAAATATCGCAAAAAATTACTCGAGACGAATATTTTTGAATTTATCGCGAAGAATGCCAAATATTAAATCGAAATCTAGCTGTAAAAATTGCTTGCGTGCTTAGGGAATTCACCGTTTCGTATCGAGCGATTGATGATTATGGATCGGAGACGTATCTCTTCCTACTCTCAGACTGGGACTTGGATGCCGCGTTTATCAGGTGACCAACTGATTAATTAATTCCAACCCTAATAAAACATATAATAAATACATTTAAGCTCTGATAAATATAAGCGCTTTAATTTAATCGTCATCTTTCAGTGCGTCGGAGCCATACCTATATCTGCAGGTGAACTTGAAACCGTTCGGTGAAACTGGAGACTGTGAGTGCTACTGGGAGCAAAATGCGCAGGAAGTTTTGACACGTCAGCAGGAGACTGGGTTTCCTTACAGGACGCCCAAGTTGCCCGGGCTTATAATGAATAAAGTAAGTGCCGTCGCGTGCCTTCACTCTGACAATAGTATACACACTGATAGCATTGAAAGCTTCACAAATGCCCAACATTTCTGCAGAAATGTTAAAAAGAACAAAATGTGAAAAATTTCCTTAAAAAAATCCCTCAATGCATCGTCCTCGAATTCAATTGAAAGTCGCGTACTCTTTTTGGTAATTAAAATTATCTCAATATTTCATTTAATTTTTATTTGTTCTCCGTGTTTCTTAAATTATTAATTTTGTTATTTTTTGCTACTTTTATTGTACTTAATTATTTTATTATTTTATTTTTTATTTTTTATTATTATTATTATTATTATTACAGTTATCAGGTGTATCCAATTTCGCGTTTAATATTTCGTCACAGATGGAAAGGACGCTGAATATGGTGCAACGTGCATTGGGCAACTTGGGCGACGAATCGTCTCATCAGCAGAATGTTCAGCCTCCAAGACCACCTCTGACGGACGCTGAGTTTCGTCGATTTCTGGATCCGATCGGACAAGTGGTACATTCCAAGGAATTAAGGGCAGTCATTTATTTTGGCGGGATCGAGCCTAGTTTGCGCAAGGTAGTTTGGAAACATATTTTAAATGTGTATCCAGAGGGGATGTCGGGTCGCGAACGAATGGATTACATGAAGAAAAAAGCGCAGGAATATCAGAATCTGCGCGAACGGTGGCGAGTACTAGTGCAAAAGGGACAGAACGTCGGCGATCTTGGCTACGTCACTGGTATGGTGAGGAAGGACGTCCTCAGAACGGACAGGCATCACAAGTTTTACGGTGGTTCGGACGACAATCAAAACACAGCGAGTCTTTTCAACATTTTGACGACGTATGCCTTAAATCATCCGAGTGTAAGTTACTGCCAGGGTATGAGCGACTTGGCTTCGCCCCTTCTCGTCACGATGCGGGATGAAGCGCAAGCCTACATCTGCCTTTGCGCCCTCATGAGAAGATTGAAGGATAATTTCATGCTCGATGGCATCGCCATGACTACCAAATTTGCTCATCTCGCAGAAGGTAATTACTTTTAAACTTTCTCTCGCAATTTATCACGGTTTGCTTATTTCCCTTTGTAAGTCTTGTTCACGCAATACCTACTCTTTAATAGCTACATTCCCGTCTCTCTTAATATATCTTCTCTATAATACAATATTGGCATCTCTTTATATCGGCACTAAATCGGCATATTTCCTATTTTCGGCAGGTCTTCAACATTATGATCCCGATTTTTATGCGTATTTGAAGTCGCATCAAGCGGATGATCTACTCTTTTGCTATCGTTGGCTGTTGCTAGAAATGAAACGCGAGTTTGCGCTGGACGACGCGCTTAGGATGCTCGAGGTTTTGTGGGCGGCTCTACCAGCGTCACCACCGATCGGCGAACTGAGTCTTGCCGAGGTGCCTTTTCCGCCAGCGTCGCCGCCGCCGAGTCCGAACGTGAAGCATATCCGCGAGAACGCGTATACCAAGGTTTGCGCTATTAGACGACAAAGTTCTTCGGCCAGTATCGCCGCTGTTAGACGAAAAGCCTTCAGCACCGAGGAATCGACTCTGCAATCATCTACTGAGGTTAACGGAGAAACGAAAAGGTTTCTTTTTCTTGTTTGCATAATTGCTAATTGCTCGCACTTGAAACTATTTTGTAAAACTTGGCCATTTCGGATAAAATGCGAAATTTAGAATTACAAATTCATGGAAGATGTACAAAAAAAAAATTGGTATATAAATGAAAAATATTATTAGACAAACAAAGTAATGCTTAATATTTTACTTGTGTACTACTTCTTTTTTTGCACTGTAAATTAAAATTTATCTATTAAACAGTAACTTTAATTCAAAAACTTAATCAAATGTTTATTTTCAGATCCAATTCACCGTATGAAGCATTCTCCGATTCAGAGAATGATTTAACCAACACAAAAAACAGAAGAAATAACGAGTCGACAGAAAAGTGCCTAAGTACGGATTCTCTTCCTGTTAAATCGAAACGCGCAAATCTTCTAGAACTGAAAGAGAAACTGTCTGTCCCCAGTAAAGAGCAGACTAAAAATAGCGAACAGAATGACAGCTCTGGTGAAAAGAAATGTGCGCGAGTGGTCAAGAATTTGAATGAGTTCTTGAACTTTACTAGTCTCAATCGTAGTAAAGTCACGCCAAGCGACGCCGAACCTGAGCTCAGGTAATTACTTTTTCATATAGAAAATATTTCTTCTGAATTAAGATATTTATGCAAACTGTAGATATTAGACGATTCAATAATATTATATTGTATTCTGTCATCGCAGACGTGTCTCGAGCGAAAGCGGCGTCATCAGAGTGTTGAGAGACGAACCGAGCTCGCCAGACGATCCCACGGATTTTTTCCCAATGACCACCTCAATGACTAGAGAATTAAGATTGGAATTGGAATCGTTGGATCGACAAGTGTTTGGGCCTTCGCCACCTAGTGAGTTGCAATGCGATTGCGTGCTCTCAAAAAGAGAAAGTGATTTACCGGAGAGCGAGACGGAGACGGAATTGGCGAGATGTAGTCCAGCGGCAGACGTGTTTGTATGGGAAAATCCTTTACACACGTTACAACAGAAGCATCACCCCGCGACTCCGGACGAACAGGCGGAATTGGAATACGATGGTGAAATTTTGGAAGATCAAAATGGTGTGAAATCCGTCACGCCGATCAGGTTGCTCAAACGTACCACTAGGTACATGCGTATTTTCATTTGCAAACATTTATAGATTTGAAAATTTTAATAAGTAAAATTTATAAAATAAAATTTCTGCTAAAAGTTTATACTAGTTGCTTGGAAACCTAAATTTAAAAAAGTCTATTTAATTTTACTTTCTGGTAAAACTTTTACATCTCTCCTTCACTTTTCTTATGTAGCGCCTTCAAAGTATCGTTGGAAAATATCATTATTTATTTTATATTTATATGTATCTTTACATTTTAATTTATATTTCAATCAAATATGCAAAACTTTATCGGCATTATTAAATTTCAAAGAAATCAATGTCGGACCCCAAATATAAAAAGAAGAATGTTTCTCTACATTTTTTTTATCAAAGGGCTTTATTTATCTTTCAGATCTGAGTCGGCGTCAGACAGCGAAGAAACCGAAAGTTGGCATCAGAATCCACCTGTACCAGAGAGTCCGACAAAGCAACAGCAGCAGCTGCAGCAGCAACAACAGCAACAACAACAACAACAACAACAACAACAACTGCAACAACAACAACAAGAGCAATGCGAAGAAGTGACAGAGCTGACTAATCTCATACCCGCGGGAACGAGCGAAGACCAACTGGGCGAAAACTCGTTGCCGCCACCGCACGAATTCGGCGGCGGTAATCCCTTTCTAATGTTCCTGTGCGTCACTCTTCTGTTGCAACATCGGGATTTTGTTATGCGCAATCAAATGGATTATAACGAAATGGCGATGCATTTCGACAAGATGGTTCGCCGCCACAATGTGATCCGTGTACTTAATCAGGCACGTCAACTATTTGCCGGGTATCTCAGAAGACATTCCATCGCTTCGTCCTCCTCCTCGACCGGTTCGACTTCCGCCAGCAAGCCAGATTCAAGTGTAAACGTGTAATTCTTTTCCAGTCAACTGTTTTAAAAAACGTCAAGTTATAATCTGAATTATTTCTGAATTATTTCTTTCGCAATGAACAGAATTCAAACGGCACATATCACGAAAATTATGTTGCCGACTTGTGAGATTCGGAAGCTTAAGAGGACTCAAAGTAATTTCACGGTGCTCTTCCACTCACAACATCATATGTGGGACTTTTATGACACGCTGTGGTATCGTTTGCACTGTTCGCGTGAGGGGTGTGTTTCTGATTAACCATTTTTTCCTTTATATTCCCCTTTTCTTTTTCACATATACAGATAAGACTTTATTCTTAAATAATTGAATAAGGATCATCCGTTGTAAAACATTAAAAATACCTAAATTCGAACGTGACAACGAATAAGCGACCGATAACGCGAAAGCAATACAATGCAACGTACAATTATAATAGAAAGTTCTTTTTTTTTTTGTAAGAACAATCTTTATAGTTAAGTCAAATGAAGAAGGAAAGACGGTTGGTCAGAGACAGCACTATTTAGGCCGTACTTATTAGCAGTTAAGATGAATGGATTTGATTGGGAGAGTTCGGGATACAACGATCGGAAGCGCTTTAGTTAATTCGCGAACGACATGCATAGCCACATTCGCTCACGCACATTATCATTCCACCGCGACATAATGCACCCTATCATCCGCACGCGTCGATGAATCCTCTTTCGCTGTACCTCGAGATAGAATTAAGTCCTTGACTTAACGCATTCAGGCGACGACTGTGTCGTTTTCGAATGTGTTAAATTTGTAAAGTAAAACATCTATACTTATCCTAACAGCTGAGTCTTACTTTGTTTTCAAACAGTATGTTTGGGAAACGACAATAAAGTGCATTTAATTTTATCGCTGATAATGAACTTTCTATTTATCATTTGAATCTAGATCCGCTTTCTAAATTGCAAGGATATTCTAAGATAAGAGAGAGAGAGAGAGAGAGAGAGAGAGAGAGAGAGATTCTCTGGCATCTTCTAACAAGCGTATACATAATATATTTTTGTCTGTCGTATAATTAAATGTGCTTAAATTTGGATATCTACATCGTTTAACCAACGTTAAATTGCTGAAGATATATCTCGTAAAGGTAAATTTGTTTTTATTAATTGATGATATAATACCTAGGACGTGTAGTAGTTCGTAATCGAATTTAAAGTTTATTTTTTTTTAGTTACATTTGTTTTCTTTTTAAAAAATTGTTTATGAATTTTCTTTACAAAGTGTATATACTTTGTAAAGAATTATCTTATTTGTAATATAAAAAACATAAGTATAATACATGTAAGTATAACACTAATACCATCTGTAATGATAGAAAATTAAAAGGCTAGTGCATAAATAATATTTTCCCACTTGTAAAAGCAATGTAAAACAAATTAAATTCAATTTGCAGTGGCAATTTAGATATGCAACAAGCAGTATACTGCAGTTATTCAAACATGGATAAACTTTACAAAAATTTTTTAAATTAAATTATTTAACGAAAAATTGCAACTTTCCTTAGATAATAATCAATAAATTTGTTAAAGGTTTATAGTCATAAGATGAAAGTAAGCGAAGGACTGAACTGATGACAATTGATCATCCAAACGTGATAAAGATTCGTATTATAATTATTATAAATTTCATAGTTTATTTCGATATTAAAAATACGCTTCGTTTCTATTTTTGTTTTGTTTTATTTTTACCTACAAGTCCTACAAGGCATAAGTATGTATATATACGTACGCATTATTTTTTTTAATTATTCTTCCACTTGACACATTGCAGGTATCGAATCGAGAAATAGCGCGCGTGCCATCGTTGCTCGTTTTCGTGATTTTCGATCACGTGATCGCGCTTGCGCATGTGCATTACGCGTTCGGCTCACAATCGTCAATCAGTCGCGTTTGACTTGGTGGACTTGTCTGTAGTTGGTTGTGTTCAGGACAGGCTGTGACTGCTGTGAGGTGTGCGCCGTGAAACAATCGCATCGTTATTGCATCATGTGAGTAAATTCAGTAGATGACGAGAAATTTTCACGACATTTCTTCCATATAACAAACAATCCCTCCATCCTTCAGTTCGAGTCTTCAAAATTTCATCGTGAAATATTTCCATGTAAAGAGAAAAATGAAAATCCGACGTTATGGTAATGTGCCTCTATTAATCTATTTGATCTGCGCAGACTTGTGTCGCAGGAAACGTTGTGTGCGAACAATCGCGAAGAAGCGAGGTTAGCGAAGATTAAAAGAGCGGAATGTTGGCAGCGAGGATCTGCCGGGCTTCGGTCTCGCGGGTCTCGCCGGGGACGTCGGGCCTGACGTCGCTCGTGCGGGCTCCGGTCGTCCGGACAACGCCACAATTCTCCAAGGGTCAGATCGCGAGGTTATTCGCCAGTGATGGGCGCAGCTCTTACACCAGGACCGCGAGGAGGAGAGCCACCGTGGCGGAACAAGCGACGGCTCCAGCTGGTGAAACAGGTAAGTCGAATATTTTTATAAGATGAGATTTCGTTTAAGATTTTGTTGATTGTACCCCGTTTATATACGTAATATATTGGCGGCAAGACGTGTGTATTACGCTCCTTTATAGGGAGCGATGAAGAGAGGATAACATTTATACAGATTTGTTTGTTTTCATCTGTGTGACTGTGATGTCTGTGTTGTTTTGCAGCAATTAACGTTGGGAAAGCAGCAGTCGCTGGAGGAGCGGTAATGGGATTAGGTTGTCTTTGCTATTATGGATTAGGTCTTTCTTCACGAACGGGTACTATAGACCATGCACAGTAAGCAACTACTTTTTCTCGAAAATTTCTTAATCACTTTGATACAACTTCCAAATGTGTATGCATTTTACTGTTTACAATTCAGAGAATTACTATTAATATAAAAGCAGTATGCAATTCATTTGTATCACAAATTTTAACTTTGAATTTAACTTAGCACAACTAAAGATAGAAATCTAGAATTATTTTTTTTCCCCCCCATGCAGTTTATGGCCTCAGTATGTCAGAGATAGAGTGAAATCTACTTACATGTATTTTGGTGCATCTATTGCGGCCAGCGCAGCGTCCGCAGCTATGTGTCTGCGTTCTCCTGCTCTAATGAATATGGTGATGCGTCAGGGATGGGTTGCTTTAGGTGTATCATTGGCTGCGATGATTGGCAGTGGCATGATTGTACAGGGACTTCCATACAAGGAAGGATTCAATAGCAAACATATAGCTTGGCTAGTACACACTGGCGTCGTGGGTGCTGTTTTAGCACCGTTGACTCTCTTGGGTGGAACGTTGGTTCTCCGAGCGGCTTGGTACACCGCTGGAATAGTCGGTGGTTTGTCAGCGATTGCCGTTTGTGCGCCCAGCGATAAGTTTCTGGCAATGGGCGGTCCACTCGCTATTGGTTTAGGCGTAGTGTTTGCCAGTTCGCTCGGTTCTATGTTCCTTCCACCTACGACCGTTCTTGGATCTGGACTTTATTCTGTAGCTCTTTACGGCGGCCTTCTACTGTTTTCCGGATTACTACTCTACGACACACAGAAGACCATTAAACGGGCAGAGACTTACCCGATGTACAACATTGATAGGCCATACGATCCGATTAATAAGTGAGTAATCGAAGAGTATAGTTTTTTGAATAGGATGGAGTGGGAGAGGGACTGTTGTCAAATAAAAAGAATTGATTTCTTTTATAGAAAAATGTTAATAATGTATTATAAGAAAATTGGATAATGTAATATTTTTACAATTTCAAGTATTTCTTTCTTTCAAAATTATATGTAAATTGTACAATTTAAAGAAACTCAGTTTATTTATTTTTTTTTTTCAGCATAATAATTTTTTTGAACGAAGAAATCTTTAAAATAGTAAAAAATATTACATAATCCAATTTCCCATTTCCTTATAATAGGTTATTAACATTTACGCGTGCATACGTACACAATGATTTAGATAAAATGTGGACATACTGTCACAAAATAATTTCTTTTGTTGTACTTCCAAATTATCTCAATATAGGGTTAATGAATTTTTTATTCTTGCAGTGCAATCGCAATTTATTTGGATACAGTGAATATCTTCGTGCGAGTTCTAAGCATACTGGCTGGTGGTGGTAACAGACGTAAATAAAGGAGCAGAACGTAATAACTAATGAAGTAATACCAGGATCAAAGTAACTTATAAATTATACATTTATTACACAATTTTAATTAATAAGAATAAATTGTACAGTTTTAAGTGAATAAAGTTAAACATTTCAATATGCTTCTGTACTTGTGCGTATATATAAAATATAATTTCGTATTGTGTGTGTACTTAATGCGCGCGCGTGCGCGCACGCACGCACGCGCGCGCACACACACGCAATATGAAAAGTTACATTATATGTATATTACTACGTAATATTATAAGTGACTGTTGGAACTTTGTGCTTTGCCAAAAACTGCCACGCATTATTCAAATATTTGAAATACTGAAACTTTATTGTATTATTCTTGAATTTTCTCTCGCTGAAGAATATACAGACATTTCTAACTGTCAGTTTTCATTAAAATGTGTGGACAAGTATTTTTGTAATTAACGCTAGACATGATGTGTAGTTGAGTTGTACAAAGATAACTCGATATATAAAAAAAAGTTGCGTTGTTTAAATATGAAATTTTTGCATTGCATTGCCGGCATTCTTGTCATTAATTCATGTATATGGCGAAAAGCGAAATTATAAGTGCGATAATTAGCGCAGCAAGGTGTCGGCCATCGATTCCTGTTGTCTTAAATCAAGATCGACTACCCGCGGATCGAAAATTGGTTGAAAAGTACTCTCGTAGCAAAATTATGTGCGCGAAGCAGAGAAAAGGACAGATCGAATCAACCCTCGTGGTGAGGAGGGGTTTGCGCCTGCGTATGTTCCGTTGTCGCGAAGGGTGATACCGATGCGCGGCGAATGAGAGAGAGGAACGAGGAGACGTTGGTTAAAACGAAAGAGAGAGAGAGAGAGGTTGAATCGAATTGAAAGGGAGAGAGAAAGAGAGAAAAAGAGAGGGACATTGAACGCCGACACCGTGGCCTCGCACTCCTCGCAGTTTCCTCTCGCGCGCTCCAAGACTCACTGCTGCGCTTCCTTTTGTATTTTTGTGAGCTAAGTTGTAGCGTAGTATTTGACTCCGTATCCTCACTTGCGTGACGAGCACATTCCCGAGTGTTGTAAATCGAGTGCACTTTGCAACGGCGCGGCGCGCGGCGGCGGTGACAGCGGCGACGAATTGGACGAATACGAGTATCTGCAGTTAAGCAACGCTGTTGAAGAACATCGGAGAACCGGAGCAGCAAAGAGGCCGAGAGACACGTTGACGCGGGGGAGCCTCCTGCGTCTTGCGAGACGAAAGCTGCATTGGTGACTTGACGATTCGAAAATGTAAGTAAATCATGCTTATGGGTATGGCGCGATTCTATATATCGGATTTTATTGCATCGATAATACTTAAGTACGCTGCGCCGCGCAGGTTGTCATTCCAAGACTCGACGAGGAGAATAAAATTCGCGAATCCACGAAAAGTCCCTTCTCATTTACTTCTCATTTATGTTCTCGTTAATCCTTGCGTAGGCGCAAGTATGTATAATTATAACAAGTTAATCAAAATGCTAGTTTGAATATGAGTTAATAGAAACTGTTGGATAATTGAAACAATATATTAATTTCTCAATAACATCAATTAAGCTTTTTTAGCAGCGTGAAAGAACGACATTCAAGATACCAAGTAATTCATCTAGCAGAGGATCATAAGACAAATAATTTTTTCAAAATTTTTCCTCTTTTCGAGCTCTCATTACACTGCCTCAATCATTTAAATAATAATCGTTTTAATATAGCTTTAACTTGTTTCACTTTCATAGACTATTTTTCTTTTTTATCCGTAGATTTCTTTTTTTCGATTAATTTGAAAATTTCTTGTGTATATATAGGTATATATATATATATATATATATATATATGTATGGATGTGCATACGTATGTATGTATATGTGTATAATACGGTCGATTGACAGTAACATACATACGTTTCTATCGTTCACGTTCACATGCATGCGTACTTCTCGTAGTCGATCACGATGTTCTTCAAGCCAAAGTCTCTAAAGCGGAACGCGCAGAGCTTTCTTGCGTGCATCTTGAATTAAGGAGCGACTTTGCGTCGCGCGTACAAAATTCGCGACACGCGTCGGCGACGCTCTTTCATCCAGACAGAAGGAACGGCGCGCCGCGCAACGTGACACGATACGACACGGCATAGCGAATCGATCGATCAACGCGTGATTGTCGACGTCAAGTAAAAGACACCGCCATCACCGAGATCATCAATTTAGGCTAATAAAAGCTCTCAAACTGACATTTTATAATCAAAACCGAAATGGAAAAATTTCTCGTGAATAAATTAGTAATTTCTTCCTCATAAATTACTAAGCATCTCTCTATAAATTACAAAGCAAATTTTATTGTAAAGCAGATTCCAAGAAATTGAAGGTACGAATTCGCATGAAAACTAACAATAAGTAGTCTTAAATACATATATATAATGTAGAGAAATTTCTGGAATTTTCTAGGAAATATTTCGCTGCAAATCTCTTTCGAGAAATTTGACGTAGAGTTTTGAGAAAAAATTTTCAGAGAGAATTGTCGCATTAATAGAACCGATAAGAATACAATTATATTCGTTCGCCCTATATGAAATTTCTTACAATTAAAACAAAAATTATAAGGTTCTTTTTTGACAAGTCACCTATAATACATTTCTCGATTCTGCATACACGGAAGGGCGCATCGCGAAAGAATACTCGAGGGATTGGAAAACAAGATGAGGGTGACTAAAAGAGGCTGCTTCGAAGCTCGAGGCTATCTAAGAGTTGTCGCGCACGTGCGAGACAAAGATGACGCTACGCAAACGACAGTGCCGTTTTAATTTTAGGGGGCAACAACATGATCCACAATTTGTGTACACACCACACATACACACACACACACATACACACGCACGCACGCATATTTTTCTCTTTGTAAAATAAAAAATTTCTGTTGATAAAGAAATAGAACAAATTATATTATAAAAAAGTTTTGAAAATCAGGAAGAAAAAATTTGGTCTATACACATAATAATTAATATTTAAATATAATTTATATACTTGAAATTTTGTCCACAAAACATCTCTTAATAGCAGAACAATTATACGAGATCAAAGAATTAATTTCTTTACGAATCGTGAATTGTCAAATTTGTTACTTGTGCACTTTATTGTAATAGATATTTAGATTGATAATACGAAAATTAAATAATAAATATAAATAATGAGGTGTTGAAGAATAAATACAGATCAATTACTATATTAAACGTAGATGTATTTTTGATACTACTATGTGAATAGTGTCAATGGTAAGCAACTGAAACTAGCGTAAACAATTAAGAAACATATACTTTTTCGGTGTCATAAACATACATATGATATGACAGAAAGCTCATGTTCTAAATATATTCCAAATATACATATATGTGCAAACTCACACGTATTAAGGTATTTAACAAAAGTATAACATGTATATTTAGATTTAGAGCAATTTCAATTAAACTCAGATTAGTTTAATAAGCGATTAGTTCAACCGGTAAAATTGTACAGCAAAATTTATAATTATATGTATAATTCATTATTCTTAATTTAATTATTTTTTTCTTACAACCGTTGAACAACAAAATATTGTATCCGTGTTAACAAGGTACTGCAATTGTACACCTAATAAGTCAAATACTGATTTAATTAATCAAAGTTTGCTCGGAGTCACTTTCATAAAATCAGATATAATAAAAACCAAGTGATGAGAGGACGCGAAGTTTTAGGGTGCTTGAATGTGCGAAACCATCCCTGAGGCGAAAGCGAGGGTTGGTGAACAAAACAGGGGGGCGAGAGAGGGCGGGAAGGAGAGAGGGAAATGGGGAGGTGGTGAAACGAGGGTGTCGGTCGCGAGTCGATAAACCGCGGGGCTGGACGCGAGCACCCTTGCGCACGGTTTCAACATGGCGGACGGTGAGTCCCATTCTCTTCTTCCCTCGGTAGCCTTACTGAATGCCGGTGATCGGGGATCTAGAGAGAGTTTGAGCGTGTCTCATATCAATCGATTCGTGATTCCGCTGCTTGTTCTCGTGACCATACCAACTTGGCTCGATTGCAACTTCTCGGATTTCTCGCGAAGGATCTTCGTTTCTGAGCACCCTCTCTCTCTCTCTCTCTCTCCTCTCCCCTCTTCTCTCTCTCTTTCCCTTTCTCTCTCTGCACCGAAAACCGAGTGCGGTCTAAACACCGTGCACTAGCAGAGTAGGTATGACACAAACGCTAATATGCTCTATATACAGAAACGGACCGTGGCTCGAGCTGAACATCAGCGACCATTGGCCTTTGCTTTGATTTGTGTTACTGGCGGTGCCGCGATTAGAATTTCTAACCAGGAATCTGTTATTTCGCGTTAATCATATAAAGCACAGTACATCTGATGTCCATAGTCGCCAAGGCAAAGGTTCGAAATTCAGAACGTTTGCGCGACCGGTAGAGCGGCGTTTCAGAGTTTTAGAATGATAGAGTATAGCGACATTATTTTACATGTTATATCTCGACGCTATTGTTATTTCTGTATTCATTTTATGTACGCGCAGCCT